GATATAGACATTGACACGAATACAAATACGCCCTATTGCCGCTCTAAATATATGGGAATAATGACACAAATGGTTTCAGAATTTTAGTTTAATATCTATTGTGATCCCTAAACTTTTAATTTATTCAATGTAATCCATGAACTTTAGCCCAACTTGCAATGTGACCCTTAAACTTTTAATTTGTTTAATATGTTCTATGAGCTTTTGGTACATGTTCAATGTAGTCCCTAAATTATATGAAAATATTTAATGTTATTTTTCTATTAATTCAAGATCAGAGATAATTTTGAATATTTTCATATAATTCAGGGACTATATTGAATATGTATCAAGGTTCAGTAGTCATATTGAATAAATTAAAAGTTGGTGGACGATATTGCACATCGAAGTAACGTTTAGAGATCACGACATACATTAAATCAAAGTTGAGCGGTATTTTTTCAAATGCATGTAAAGCAAAGAATTATGAAATGGGGGTCCCAGAGTGGGTCGATAATTTGTATACGGTGACTCCGCAATCCGATGCTTCCGACAAGATGGAACTTCATAAATCAAGCCATGTGATAATGACATGGAGGCAAGTGACGTCATCCTAGGGTCATGACTATGACGTAATAGTTTTGGTCTACGAAGACCATGACAGTGACTTCACTTCCACTGACGACGGAAGACGTAGATGCTCCGCCCTCGTAAGACAAAACAGAACGACATAGAAAGGTACTTCCATAGGTGCCGTTCATTCCAGAACTCCAGGACAATAAGATTACCCTTCATTCAAGATGAACAACTAAAGTCCCTATAATATATATTTTCCCTCATTCTACTAATTAGGAAAGATGAGAAATTTCTTCTACCGAATTTTTTCTTACGTAGCTGGTGATGGAGAGTGGCGTGGACAGCTGAGGAAGCAGAGCGGGAGGCCCGGAGGGGTTTTCTTTTCGGACAAAAATGCCTCCGTTCATGGCACGAATAAATGGCAGGTAACACGCACGCGGTCGTCGTCCGGGGTGAAGATCTGTGTCGCCAGTGAGATTTGGGGGTTCAATTGAGATGAAATCACCAATTACAGAGCTTACTTTGAGGCAAACACCGATCTTGGAGGTGCTTTGAGAAAAATGCCCCCGCTTGAGGAGGGTTTTCGAGATTTTGGACAAAAGAACGAACTGTTGGCCACATTTCAATGTCGCACGAATCCAATGCTGATTTTCCTTTAATACGCAGTCCTACTGGTTGGATCTGCGCTTTGATATTGTCAGTATTTTATTGAATAGTTTGGGTTATCATAAGTGGTTATGTGCATGGAACTTTGCCGTTGCTAGTCTTATTTCAACATTCACCAATGAGCTTCCAGATACTCGAAAAAACTCTATAAAATGGATCAATCATTTAACAGATTTTAAGTCCAAAGGTGTCCCAATAATAGAGAGACCATTATTAATTCCGATCAAAATGGAGCGAAGGTCGTTAGAAGCAGCTCAAAGGGCAATATCGATGAGCTGAACGGCTTGATCGGAAGCAATGGGCTCCTCATCCTAGAGGAGATGGCTCTCAAAGGAGCCGGTCACACACTGCTGCATGTCGCTTGTGTGGCCGGCCATTCGGATTTCGTCCGAGAGCTCCTGAAGTTGATGCCGAAGTTCGTGGAGAAAGTGAACGTGGATGGTTTCAGTCCATTGCACATTGCGGCAGCTCGAGGCGATGTTGAGATCGCGCGGGAGCTCTTGACAGTGGGTCGACACCTGTGCTCTGTGAAGGGATGGGAGAGAGGAATCCCTTTGCATTATGCTGTCATAAACGGGGAGCTCAATGTCATGAAGGTACTGCTATCCACTTCACCCGAGTCTGTCGAAGAGACAACCGCCCAAGAGGAGACCCCGCTTCACCTCGCCGTGAAGAACAACCGGTTTGATGCTGTCGTTGTGTTGGTGGAGCATCTGAAGCAGCACAAGTAGGAGCAGGTAATCAATTGGAAGGATAACAAAGGCAATACCGTCTTGAATCTCGCTACGGCTCTAAAAAATTTCGAGGCAAGTCACGTCGTTCCCTTTTTTATTGCACTTTTCTTCGCACATTATTTCAGCAAGGGTGCTAATTTGGTATCCCCACAATATGATAAAATCTTCTAGGCAAAGGAAATTATTGAATCGGGTCTGTTTTGATCATCACTGGAATAAAGGTTGTCTCGTCTATGCCTACAGTTTTTCCGTATTATCTTAATGTCCGGAAAATGGAAAAGAATTGCAGGTGGTTAACTTCCTGCTTTGTGGGCATGATGTGGAGTCCGACGTCGTGGAGGTGAACGCGTTGAACGACAGTGGGTCAACGCCTCTAGATGTCTCAACTCTGTCTCAAAGGGGAGCGGGAGATAGAGAGATCAGAGAAATTCTCGTACGAGCTGGAGCCATACACGGAAGAGGAAGATCAAACTCGCCCGCTTCAAGACCAGTCGACGTACATAACAGCCATCAATCAAATGAGGAACGAGTCATAAATGCTTCTCGATCATCATCCTCGACTTCTTACATGGTACCGGACTACATACTGGTCATCGCTGCTGCGCTCGTCGCAACCTTGACCTACCAAGCCGTGCTTCAGCCTCCGATCTCTGTGCAAGTCGGCAATAATTCCACGAAAGCCGCGCAAGTGGCATACGTCGTCTTCATGAGCTTCAACACATTCGGGCTGTTGGGATCGGTCCAGATGATCCATTTTTCCACCAGAGATCTACCCATCAAGGTGGTGTTTAGACTCTCCCTGAGCACAGTGGTTCTAACTTACATATTGTTAATGATATCACAGCCGTTCAAGTCAATGGACAAACCGTTTCGTCCTGTAGCTGTGGGATTGTTGAGCATGCTGCCGCTCATAATATCAGTTCTTCTTTTACTGATACAGAGGGAGTTGGCGCTATTTATCAATTTTTGTGTGAAAATGCTTTATCGGTGTAACCTCCGTGGTGCTATGTGCTATGTACAGGCTGAGGACCTCATCCATCTTCGTTAATGATGGTATTTCTCTTTCCTCGAGGTTGAGTTAAGAAATGCAAAGCCTTTAGTAGTGTCGGATGGACTTCATTCGACGAGGTCGGATATATATCAATGTGATGTACTCAATTCTCTGCAGTTGAGTGTGAAAATATCCGCCCCGTGATGCACTGCCTCATAATTTCTTAATGAAATGTATCCCAAGTTAATATCACAGGTAACTTCCATCGCAGTCGGGATATCGAGATGAGGTCTAAGTACTCATTTGGTCTGGCTTCTCCAGATGAATTGGCCATCAAGAGAACATCTTTGTGAGGTTGAGAATTTGTCTGTGAGAGCAGGTGAAAGAGATAACGTCAATGCCTACGGGCACTCACTAAACTGATGGGGATGGACATGAGACAAACGGTGAGCATGGAGTCTGAAGAAAAGTGCAGAGTATGCAAAGTTAATCGGATCGAACCGAATGGTGCTGATAGTAATTTAGTTGAAATCGAAAAATCATTACTGCATAGTAAAAGCAGTTTTAGGCTGATAACAAAAGAACAACTATCTGAGAACATTGAGATCTAATTTTTGGACGCATCCAACTTAAGAATAATCTTTTGATTCGGTCTCATCTGACATCTAATAACAATAGAATGGTTATGCAGACATAAAGATGAAACCCATCGTAAAAAATAACTAGAGAAGGGAATATTTTTTGGGAACACTCATAAGCAAGGGACGTCTTTTTCAGTTTTAAGAAAAGGAAAGTCCTATATGCCGAATCATTATACATTTCAATTGGAATTAGGATCCGTGTACAAACGTATCTTTCCATGGTACCGATACTAAGTACTCTATCATTTGGGTCTTTAGTAGGTCTTTTGATAGAGATTAATCCTTTATTTCCAGATGCATGAAGAATGCTAGAGATAGAATCCCATGAAGAAATCAAGTGTAGATGCTGTAATTTTAAAGTTCCCATGATCAGAGCAATTTCCAACATATAAAACCACGATTCATGCTTAGAGGAGGACCTGCACCATATTGTGCACATTCATCATAATTAGTTCTAATTAGCAGCAGCAGGGCAGATATTCATATACACATTGAAATGGACCCAAGGTCCCTAGAAGCAGCCCAGAGAGGCAATGTCGACGAACTGAATGACTTGATCAGAAGCAATGCACTCATCCCAGAGGAGACGACTCTTGAAGTAGCCGGCCCCACACCGTAGCACGCCACCTGTGACGCGGGCCATGTGAATTTTGTCCGGAGCTCCTCAGTCGATGCCAAATCTTGTTCATAAGAGAGCAATGATCGTGACCCACGAGCAATGCCGAAGCTGTAATGACACCATTACATTCAGATCTTGGATCGGGAGCAACGATCCTCATCCTTGTTGTTGTGATAGGATCTCCAGGATCCAGATTTCTCCATGAAGATCTTCGACCTCTGAAAAATCCTGTCTCTATTCTACATGGCCTTAACATCCGTTTCGCGGAAAATGTGACAATTCTGAAAAAAAATTTCCTGGAAGCTATTTTTCGGTATTCGGCTGAAACTTGAAAATGACCTAGAAGATATTTTCCGTTGTTCGTATGGAAAATCTAATTTGATTTTCCTTTGTGCACTCCTTTTAATAATATTTTTTTAATTTTTTTTCTTTTTTTTAAATCAAATTTTTAATTATTTTTTGTTTTTTTTCTTTTCTTTCTTTTACTTTTTTCTTCTTCTTCGGCCAATCGTCGGTCACAACAACGGCCAGCGACCGATCTCAGGCAAGCTCGAGCCTCACCACCCTCAGGCATCTAACTAGGTTGACATCTAGTTCCAGAACATATTTTATTCAATGCTTCAAGGGATTAAAGAATAACCCAATTCGGGAGTAACCTTTTGACAGGACAAACTCCTCGTAGAAATTAAGTGTTAGGGAAGTAATATAAATATTCCCCTGATCAGGCAATTTCCAATCTATAAAACCATGATTCATGCGCATCCACCATTATCAGTTCTAAGTAGAAGGGCACATATACACATATAAACACTCAAATGGATCCGAGGTTGTTAAAAGCAGCTCAGAAAGGCAACGTGGGTCTACTGAATGACCTGATTAGAAGCAATGCACTCATCCTCAAGGAGGCGGCTCTCCAAGGAGCCGGCCACACGCCGTTGCACGTTGCCTGTGTCGCTGGTCATTCGAATTTCATCCGAGAGCTCCTCAAGTTAATGCCGAAGCTCGCAGAGAAGGTGAACGCGGATGGTTTCAGTCCATTGCACATTGCGGCAGCTAGAGGTGATGTTGAGACTGTGAGGGAGATTTTAAAAGCGGTTCCGCCTCAACTCCTATGCCTTGTAAAGGGCAGGGACAGAAGAATCCCTCTGCATTATGCAGCTGCAAACGGGGAGGTCAGCGCCGTAAAGGAATTGCTTTCTGCTTCATCTGAGTCTGTTGAAGAGACGACCGCCCGAGAGGAGACGGCGCTCCACCTCTCCGTGAAGAACAATCGGTTCGACACGTTCGTCGTGCTGGTGGAGCATCTGAAGCAGCACAACAAGGAGCAGGTGATCAACTGGACGGACAAGAAGGGCGATACAGTCTTGCACCTTGCTGCCGCCGCCAAAAATTTTGAGGCACGCAATCTCACCTTTCTCTTTTTCCTTATCAATTTTCTTCGCTTGTTCTTCTTGTGTGATCTGAATGTCTGAACATCAAAGAGGACAAAACAAAACAAACAAAAGGAAAAACAAATCGCAGGTGGTTGACTTCATGCTTAGTGGGCATGCTCTCAAGGGCGAGGTCATGGAGGTGAACGCCTTGAACGAGAGTGGCTTAACCCCTCTGGATGTCTCATCTCACTCTGATCGAGAGATTAGAGAAGTCCTCATGCGAGCCGGAGCCAAACACAGGCAACCAAACTTGCCCTCTTCAGAAATAGTCCAGGTGGATGACCACGAAGGTTATCAATTAGTTATGAAACCTGCTGTCGAAAATGATCATCCACCACAAAAAGATTCAAACCAAGGACAACAGTCGCAGGACAATGAACGCAGCGACCTGCTGGTTGTAGCCGGGCTCATAGCAAGCGCAACCTACCAAGCCGTGCTTCAGCCTATAACCCTTTTTAAAAAAATCGAAACTCATACAAAGAAAGGCTTCCCTGCAGCAATCTTATCTTTATGGGGAAGTACCATCGGGAGGAATTGGACTTTATGTTGCTTCCTGATCACCAACACGTTCGGATTCTTCTTGTCTGTTCTGATGATCTTTCATCTCACCAAAAAACTTGCCAAAAGGCCTTCATTGAAGTTGCTGCTGATGATCTCCAGTTTCATGATGGTTTGTAGTTACGTTAACTGCATGGCAAACGTGCCGTCCAGGTCGTTACTGGATGAACAATACAGTCCTCTGGGCCACATATTGATATTACTATTGGCGATCCTGATACCATGTGCTCTTCTATTATGCACAGTCTGGATACAGAACAAGCTAGACTGGATATCGGATAGAATAGCCCGATATCCGGAAGCTGCAAAGATATTCTCGCCCATATTAACATACTTAGGTGTTATGGACAGTCCACAAACAAGTAGTTCTTGTAAAAAAATGATTGTTGGCTGCAAAACTATGGACTTGTGGAGAAAAAAATTTCTGAAGAGAGGCTTTATTCTCGATTCTGTGTATTCCTTACAAGCAATACAATGATTTATTTATAGGTTGTAGTTTGCCCTTCTAAAACTGAAATAGACTTAATTATAGGCAATTCTATTAATAGCCATAAACCAAAATTAAAACCCATTATCACCCGTAAGAGTAACTGCTGACTCTTGACTTTTCATTTTCCTATAAAACTGCTGAAATAACGCACTAATAAAAAACGGACATTTAATGTTTATTCAACAAAACTCCCCCATAAACTTAAATGCTTCTGCCATCTTTCATGCCGATCAATCTTTTGCAATTGTCGAGAAGTATCGTCGGTAGTGGTTTCGTGAAGATATCCGCGACTTGGTCCCGACTTGCCGCGTGCACTAATTCCACACTTCCTTCCTTCACTTGATCTCGGATGAAGTGAAAGCGAACGTCAATATGCTTGCTTCTCTCATGATTCACCGGGTTCTTGCTCAACTCAATTGCTGATTTGTTGTCAACTCGTATCACAGTCGCACCGAGTTGTTGTTGCTCCAACTTGCCCAACAAATTTCTGAGCCATATCGCATGACGTACACACAAAGATGCTGCCACATATTCAGCTTCACATGTCGAGAGTGTCACGATCGGTTGCTTCTTTGAAAGCCAGGTAAACGCCGTGTCACCCATAAAAAACACATAACCCGATGTGCTTTTCCGATCGTCCAAGTCTCCGCACCAATCGCTGTCGGAGTACCCGACCAACTTGTAATCTGCCGCATTTGTATAGAATAACCCGAGTGACACTGTTCCTTGGATGTACCGTAGGATTCGCTTCAACGCCTTCCAATGTGAATAAACTGGCTCCTCCATGAACCGACTTACAATGCCGACACTTAATGCAAGGTCCGGCCTTGTGCATGTGAGATAGCGAAGGCTTCCCACTAAACTCCGGTATTTGCTTGCGTCGACTCGTTCTCCTCCATCAAACTTAGAGAGTTTTGCACCCGGTTCCATTGGTGTTGAAACCGGATTACAAGACTCCATCTTATACTTCTTCAAAATCTCCTTTGTATATGCCTCCTGGGATACAAAGATACCCGTCTTTCCTTGTCTTACCTCCAGACCAAGGAAAAACTTCATCAAGCCCAAATCTGTCATCTCGAATTCCCGTGTCATTGTGCTCTTGAACTTTTGTATCATTTCATTATTATTCCCAAAAAAAATGAGGTCATCGACATAAAGAGCAACAAATAACATATTACCTCCACTCTTCTTCACATAAAGGGCATGTTCGTAGGGACATTGCTCGAACCCGTTCTCCTTGAAGTATGTATCGATACGAGTATTCCACGCCCGCGGTGCTTGCTTCAACCCGTAAAGTGCCTTCTTCAATTTCAACACCTTCTTTTCTTCTCCGATTTTCATGTACCCGGGTGGTTGTTCGATATAAACTTCTTCTTCAAGCACACCATTCAGGAATGCCGACTTGACATCCATTTGTAATATCGGCCATTTGAATTGAGCCGCTTGTGAAATGAGCAATCTGATTGTCTCCATTCTTGCAACGGGAGCAAACACCTCGTCATAGTCGATTCCCTCCTTTTGCTTGTATCCCTTTGCTACAAGTCTCGCCTTATACCGTTCTATCTCCCATTGAGCATTCATCTTTCTCTTAAACACCCACTTGACACCAATGGGCTGAGTTCCTTTCGGCAATTCTGCTAACTCCCATGTGTTGTTGCGATCTATTGCTTTAATCTCCTCGTCCATGGCAGTTTGCCACTTCTTGTCTCGCACCGCCTGTTCAAAACTTATATTCTCGGAATTCACCAAAAGACATACAAGGTGTACCTCATTTGTCGAATCATACAAATCTTGTAAACTTCGCATTTTGGGTTGTCGAGGTTCATCTTCATCATCAATAGTTTCAGAATTTTCCGGTATGGTTGTTGGTATAGCAGTTGATGATTCTCCAACTTTGATGATACCCTCTGTTGCTTTATTCCAATCCCACTCATTTGCTTCATGAACTCGTACATCACGGCTCACTAGAATCTTCTTGCTTATCGGGTCGAATAGCTTATATCCTTTTGTTTTCTCATCATACCCAATAAAAATATACCTTTTGCTTTTGTCTTCGAGCTTTGTTCTTCGCTGATCCGGCACGTGTGCGTAGGCCAAACTGCCGAATACTTTGAGATGAGAGACTGTCGGTTTTGTCCGCTCCATGCCTCTTGTGGTGTTTGATTATACAACTTCGCATGTGGACACCGGTTTTGAACATAGATGGCGCATTGCACGGCTTCCGCCCAAAATTCCTTCGGCATTTTCTTGCTCTTGAGCATTGACCGAACCATGTCGAGAATGGTCCGGTTCTTCCTCTCGGCCACACCGTTTTGCTGTGGAGAGTATGGTGCGGTTAGAAATCGCCTTATGCCTTGCTCCTCACAATACTCCATGAAAACCGTCGAAGTGTACTCGCCACCTCTATCGGATCGTTCATATTTGATGTGTCTACCGGTTGCCTTTTCCACCAGCACTTTGAATTTTTTGAACACCTCGAACGCCTCGGATTTTTCTTTCAGAAAATAAACCCAAGTTTTTCGTGAGAAATCATCAATAAAGGAAATGAAATACCTTTTGCCGCTGAAAGATTCGGGGGTGATTGGTCCACATATGTCGGAATGAATCAACTCGAGAGGTTGCTTAGCCCGATATTCTGCCTTCTTTTGAAACGACATTCTCGCATGCTTTCCGAGCACACATTCTTCACAAAATTTTCCCTCGTATTCCATGTCCGGTAGTCCGTGCACCATGTTTTTCTTTGCCAACTTGTTTAGGCCTTCATGATGTAGGTGACCAAAACGGAGATGCCACAGTGACGCCTTGTCTTCTACGTTGACTTGCAAACATTTTTCTCGTACACTTCTCAAATTCAGTTTGTACATCCGATTTCTCCCCATTTCAACTTGAGCGACTGAACGCCCTTGCTTGTCTTTCAATAGTAATATCCGGTCTTTCATAAAAACCGAATAACCTTTCTCCATGAGTTGCCCCATACTTAAAATGTTGCTCTTGAGGTCTGGTACGTAATACACATCTTGAATTGACCCAACTAAACCATCCTTTTGTAAATAATAAATCGTACCTTGGCCTTTGACCTCAACCTTCGAGCCATCTCCAAACGATACAGATACAGCTTCAACCTTTCGCATCTCTTTGAAACAATGCTCGTGCCCGCACATATGGTTGCTTGCAGCCGTGTCGAGGTACCACACCGTGTCGTTGTCGGTGTTGACTTTGTTGTATGCCATTAAGAGAAAACCTTCTTTCACCTCATCTTCCGTGGCTAGGTTGGTTGTCTCTTCCACTTTTTTCTCGACTCGACAATCTTTTGCAAAATGCCCCACCTTTCCACAATTGTAACACTTATTGGAATTGCAATCCTTCGCATAGTGACCATATTTGCCACACTTGTAGCACTCGATGTTGGAATAATTTGACCGACCGCCTCTTCCACGACCGTGTCCTCTTCCACGCCAATTCTGTTGGTTTGATTGCCCCTTCTCCTCATGATACCCTTCTTGACCGCGGCTTTTCCCACCGCGACTATTTCCTCGACCACCACGGCCACGCCATTTACCTCGAAAGTTTTGAGAATAGAGTATCTTTTCGTCATTGATCGATGCTTTGGTTTGAAGTGCCTGCTCAAGTGTCTCCTCCTTCTTCTTCTTCTTACGATGTTCATGTGCCATAAGGGAACCGGCAAGCTCGTCGACCGTGAACGTTGCTAGATCCTTTGACTCTTCTATGGCACATACCACATTCTCGAAACTGTCGGTTAACGACCTCAGAATCTTCTCCACGACCCGCGCATCGGACAACTTTTCTCCATCTCGGTTGAGTTGATTCACCACGGTTTGAACACGCGTGATGTAATCGGACACACCTTCCGACTCCTTCATCTTCATGCCTTCCAACTCGCTACGAAGAGTTTGAAGGCGAACTTGTTTAACTCGGTCGGCTCCTTTGTACGCAGTCTCCAAGATGTCCCACGCTTCTTTTGAAGTTTTCGCACTCGCAATCTTCTCAAAGCCCGACTCATCAACAGCTCGGAACAGCATGTACAATGCCGTCTTATCTTTTGATCGCGTTTCTTTCAACGCCTTATTTTGAGCCGCCGTATATCCTGCGGTAGATTCTGGTTCTTCGAAACCTTCTTGAACCACCTCCCAACAATCCACAGAACCGAGAAGAGCTTTCATTTGGATGTTCCAATTCTCGTAGTTCACCTTCGTTAAGCGGGGCAGCGGCACATTATTGATTACACTCCCCATCGGCTCTGATACCAATTTGTAAAAAAATGATTGTTGGCTGCAAAACTATGGACTTGTGGAGAAAAAAATTTCTGAAGAGAGGCTTTATTCTCGATTCTGTGTCTTCCTTACAAGCAATACAATGATTTATTTATAGGTTGTAGTTTGCCCTTCTAAAACTGAAATAGACTTAATTATAGGCAATTCTATTAATAGCCATAAACCAAAATTAAAACCCATTATCACCCGTAAGAGTAACTGCTGACTCTTGACTTTTCATTTTCCTATAAAACTGCTGAAATAACGCACTAATAAAAAACGGACATTTAATGTTTATTCAACAGTTCTCGTCGTTAAAGAAATCTCTCTACTTAAGGGTTGTGCAAAGAAATGCAAACAGTATTAAGCATTCGGAATTGAGTTTGTCAACAGCGCTTGGCGTCGATCTGCTACCCTTGGTTCTCTCCAGTTGATTGTGTAATGTCCGCGGATGCCTTTTCTTTTCTTCTTATTGAATGTGTCCTGAGCTTATAGCACATATGTATCTTATTTTGGAATAGAAAATGTTACGCTGCTGTGAGGCAGCAATGTCAATACTCCTACCCGAGAAGTAGCACTCATTTTTATTGGCCATTAGTGACCACCATGTCACCTTAATTTGAACAACTAGAATAACCCCTGTGCAATTGACGGGGCACGATGATCAAATATATAAATCTTGACCCTGGTGTATTTGTTTCAGTAGAGTTAATGTTA